TAGGGCATCGTTTTCTCGAGATGGACCTCCACCACCACTGCCTCCAACAGGAAATAAACCCCCAGTCCCTTCAGCGCCAAGGCCTGCAGGTAATACTCCACCACCACCACCTCCTTCAGGAAGAGGAGACTTACCTCCACTGCCCCCTGCACCACGGGAGGAGAACAGAGCTCCTCAGAGACCCCCATCGTCAAGCAGCCTGCCCCCTGTCCCACGTCCTGGAGGCTCTGGCCCACCTCCACCTCCACCCAGTGCAAGACCACCACAACAAGGAAGGAGCCCATCTGTACGATCAGGTATGGACCTTGGCCAGGTTTCATGTGTTTTTAAGTGTTCCGTGGTTCAGCGTAAGAAATTTGGATGTCTTTCTATAGGCCCTCTTCCACCTCCCCCTCCATCAGGAGGAAGCAGAGGTGGCACTCCACCTGCACCACCTCCTAATCGTCCTGGAGGAGGTGGAGGAGGTGGCAGACCTCCTCCACCCCCAGACCGGTCTGGAACAGGGGGCTTTCCTCCCCCACCTCCCTCCACCATTGGCAATGGCTACCAGAGCCCCCCACAACACAGTCAAGGTATGGAATTCACATGTATTCATGCTGTAGATGAAACTTCCATGAGGTCTGCCTTACTTTTAACTGGTCAGCAACACGTGACAGAGGATACTTCAAGCTAAGTGGCTGGTTGCAATGTTTACACTTGTGGTTTTGTGTACTTGTGTGCACATGTGCTTTCTGGTCAGTGTCCAAAAGTGTCCCATTTCTAAAACATAAAAAAGCAGAGTGCGCAAAACACACTAAATGTATCCTTTGCTGAATACTTCGAAGCAGTATTGGGCTAAAAATACACAGTCATGTGCAAAGGTTTAGTCAGTTACCTGTTTTGTTGATTTTCAAAGTGAAAATAAGTTAACACATCTTTTACAGAGAACACAACCTCACATTTTAATGCAACACCACCACTGTTTATTTTACATATTGGGGGAAAAATAAAAAAATAACTTTTGCCTGTGCAAAAGTTATGGCACCCTTTATATTTCGTGTTTTATTGTTTCCCCATTATGTTAAACTCAGCAAATAAATATAAAACTGTGCACTAAAATGTACAAATAAATGCCATATTTAAGTTTCCCCCTTTTAGAGGATGTGATAAGTATTTTCACTGTTAAAATCAACAAAACATGTAATTTGGCCAGGGCTATTCAAACTTTTGCATATGGCTGTATACAGTTCAACATGTTGGTGACATTGTAACATGCTGTTTCTGTGGAAATATCATGGAAGAATGTTAATGTCATGAGAATGCTAGCGACTGCTTGTCCCACAGTGGTAAAACATGTCTGCAAACTTAATGAGTGCTTGCACACAATTTGGAAAGACGTCATATTAGTGTGCACTTTAGCAAAACCCACAAACTGCTGTGGACTTTGGGACAAGCTGCAAATTTTTTAACTCAGGGAGTCTGGAGCACTCCACACAAAAGACAGCCTACTCTCAGAAAAAAGGTACTAAACTCTCACTGGGGTGGAACCCCTGTCATCACTGGAGTGATACTCTCAAGGCTACATCTTCAGTAATTTTGTTTATGGTAAGTGCAACATATTCCGGTGCAAAATATGCACCACTCCCCTGGAAAGTTAATGTAGTATGCCTTTAAGGCTCATTAAAGGTACATAATTGGACTTTTTACTTTGGACAAAATAAACCAATTTTTTTTTCTTTTAATAGTTCACTTTTTTAGACACTATTTTTCACATCTTTTTCCATGTGATGCACACTTTTATTTTTAATTTGTGGTTTTCTCATGTCAAGTTTAATTCATTTACACCTTTCACACGTGTAATTTCATAGTGGAACATGTTAAAATAGATTTCTACATGTTATCACATGTATTTATGTAAAACACAAAACATAAATAATCTCAAAAACATAAATCAAAACAAAAACATCTTAAGTTGTACTTGAGATCACATATGAAAACAGGAAAACTTAGAGTCACATGATTACTTATTATTCACATTATGTCCCATATGTTTACATGTAGACACATTTTTTAGACACGTATGACTAGCAACATAATTTGGTGCATTAATACAGAATTCAACTAATGTATGCAGTCATGTGCATAGCATATTAAGTATTTTACATCAGCTTCATATTCAGACTTTAGATTTAGATTTTAGAAGCGGAAATAGATTTTAAGCCTTAAAGGGAAATTCCACCATTCCAGGAGGGAATTCTAAATTTCTGCGTAACTAAATTGCTAAGATGTAAGAAGTCATTCAGAGTGTGTTGATTTAAAATGGTTCATGTCAGAGAAACTAACATAAAATACTAACAAACACATTACACCATACCTGAGATACTGTTTTATGATAGTTTTGAGACATTTTTGACTTAAAACATTTTTTTTTATTCCTTCATGGTGAATAGATACATGCAGTGTATTGTAAAGCAAAATAGTATTTTCATTTAATAGCATCTTCATCATCACATTTAAAAACTCAGAAGATGTGTAGATTCACTGTTGTAGACATTGTGACCCCTGGTTCCTATCATCACCACTGTAAAGAAATCTGAGTCGGTAAGTTTCTCTGCAGTGAACCATTTCACATCAGATCACTCTGAATGGCTTTGTTAACATCACAATCACTGAATTATACAGAAATTAAAGTAAAATGGTAGAATTCCTCTTTAAGGTAGTCTGGTAAGAACTGTTGTCATAATGAATAGTGCTGAGGATTTTAATTGAAGCCTAATTACCACTGTTACCATTACAGTGTATTTAAAATCTTTAAAGCAGTTAATACTGTGAAGGCATCTGCTCTGTTACATCACACCACATCAGTGGGAGTTTAATCTATGTGTTATGTGTTTGTGTAGTGTTATTTTGCTGGGCAGCTGTGTCCTAACAGGTAACAAAGCAATAAGCAATGTTTAGTCCCCGACGTCTGTATGGACTTGATAAGCTCCGTGTTCAGCACTACACTCCATTAGGCAAACTCTGTGTTTGCTCTGAGGTCAGCAGTCTCAGCCTTGGACTTAACTTAATACCCAGAGAGCCTTTTCAATCAAACCACTCTTGGTGCTTTGTTCCTCTACACTTTTTCATAAGGCCTGTTTATGAGACTGATACTTAAGACACCATTAAGCTAGCATGAGAGCATTTACATCTCTATGGACAAGCATTAATTAAGATAGAAGATACAACTTAAACATAATTGTTAACAATATTTATTCATTTATTTAAACATTTTCATAACATAATATTTTAAAACAGAACAGTAAAATAAAAATCCTGGAGACAAGACCAGATGTGTGGAGTCATTATAAATGAAAAAAATATATAATTTCAATAAAATATGATACAATTATGTTCCTTAACTAAAGGTACTGAAAACTGACCATTGAGGGTATGACAAGATGGGTAACATAATCTGCAACATTTTCTGTTTGTATTTGATTGAATATGGTGATCCTAAACTTCTGAATTGTGATTCAAGCTTTTGAATGGAAGCAAAGGAAAAAAAAATAACTCAGCTTTTATAATAGGGATAAACTTACCTAAATCTCACAAATAATCAGTTTACGCTCGCACTGTTCCAGACAGAGAACAACAGTATTCAGTGGTGAGAATGTACCACTGCTTTGTTGAAATTAGGCCCTTGATCCACAGAGTAATATTATCGTTTTTTTTTTAGATGATTGGGAGATGAGGTTTTCTTTCCATTCCCTATCTGAGCTGCCCCCACCAGAGCCTTACATCTCTTGCCCTAAGACGTACCCCAGCAAGGCTGGTAAGAGCGAAGGCAAAGGTAAGGAACATTTTTTTTGCTATGAAATATGTTTTGCTTCATGTCTGCGATAGTGAAGTAATGTGACTGGATAGGAAAAGCTATACTTGACAGTTTTCAATTGAAAATATTATCACCAATATGACTGTTCATATTCTGGATATACTCCAAAGATCTTTGCCTAATGTAGACTGTTACACAGACTGTCATATTTTGGTGTCATTCATTTTTTGCTGGTGCCTCTTACGCTCAGAATATTTATTTATTTATTTATTTATTAATTATTGCAGCAACTGGTCCCAGTACAATAAAGCTTGTCTGTGTTCTCTGCAGGGTCTTTGCAGAAGGAAAGAGGTGCTCCTCCACTGCCTCCGTTGCCTCCATCAGCCAGATGAAGGAAAATCACCCATACCTGTTCAGTATTATTGGGGCTATTTAGATTTTTTAACCAGAGCTCCTTAACACTTTTGTTCATAATATTTTTTGAGATGTTGCTGAAGGTTACAATTTCAAAATTTCCACAACACACACAAGCACACACACGCACACACACACACACACACACACACACACACACACACACACACACACACAAATGATAATGCACAGACAGACTGTCAATAGTTATCTTAGTGCAATGTATTCCAAATATATTTTTGAAAGAATGTTTTTTTCTTATATTGACTGTTTTTTATTTCCTTTTTGAGCTTTGTCTAAATAAATAAATAAATAAATAAATGTATGGATGAATACATGATTGAATGGATGGATGGATGGAGATGATATGGAAGTCTGTGCTGTTCTGAAAAATAAAGCACATTTTTATCAGACACAAGCTGCCACAGTATATGGGCTCATTTGAACAATGGCATTGAATAACACACACTTGCTCATTACCTAGAGCTCCATCTTTGGCTTGTAAAAATGTACATCAGTTTAAACGCTTCCTCTGGTTGCTGCATTTCTGTGCAGTCTTTACGGCGGAGTTTTGCCCTCTTTAGGAATTTCCATGAAGAGGGAGGCTAATGCGAACAATGCCGAGACCGAAATAAACCAGGCGAATATTGTACTGAGAAGACTTTTATTCAACAGTATTTTATAACGCTGAGGACTTTTATTCAAGCACCACGTGAAACACTCATGTGCAAATTTGCTTATGGCCGCCTCCCGCTATCTGTGATTGGTGGAATCAAGTTTCTATCCAACGGTTTAGGAAAACATATAAGAGGCCGGCAGGAACGGAGTGTGAGTGGAGGAGACGAGAGCTGTCAGACCTGAAGTCCAGTAATTATACAAATATGAAGTCTTCATCTACCTTGAGCATTCGGCTATGGGTGTAACATCAGGCCTCGACCAGCCTGTGAGGGGGAGAAACTGGTTAAAGCAGAGAGAGAACTAGTTTGTTGACATGCGGGGCTCCTGTGCCGTTTCCTGTCAGTGCAACTCGTGCTAACTCCGTAACTCCGACCGGTTTCAGCACCGCAGCTCAGAAAGGTAAGAGATGTGACGGGGATTAGGTTTAAATGCTCCAGTTTTAATGAAAAGGGGATGTGATAAAGAAACGTTCGCACTGCAAACTATACAGTGTTTATGTAGCGTTTATAGCATGCTGAAAGATATACGTTCAAATGTGACCTCCGTCGGGAACTTGGGCACGTTCAAAATGAGCTTAGCTGGCTTTCTGCGAACTTGGAGGGCAGTGGAGGTGGATGTGTACGTGCTGCTGAAGTGTCTCAGAAACCAATAACCATTTACTTTTAAAGCTATTAAAGCTTTTCGTCATTCGTTCGAAATAATTTGTCACTAATTTCTTTGATTAACCCATTTTCTCGATTTTGGTTGTTTTTTTGTCAGACTGGCTGGACTCTTGATAACCTCCATCCATCTCTGAAGGCTACAGACCTACAACAGGATGGAGTCTATCAACACCTCCATGTCCAACTCTGCACCGGGGGCTGACCCCTCACCTGCCCCACATCCTGCCATGTCCATCGATAAGCTTTTCCCCGCTCTCCTTGAGTGTTTTGGGATCATACTGTGTGGATATGCAGCTGGCCGTGCCAATATCATCACATCCACACAAGCCAAAGGCCTGGGGAACTTTGTGTCAAGGTTTGCTCTGCCAGCACTGCTATTTAAGAACATGGTGCTGCTGGACTTTGGAAATGTCATCTGGCCATTTCTTTGGAGCATTCTGGTGGCCAAACTGACTGTGTTCTTCATTGTGTGTGTGCTGACATTGCTGGTGACCAGCAAGGACACCAGATTCTCCAAAGCAGGCCTTTTCTCCATATTTGCTACTCAGAGTAATGACTTTGCTCTGGGATACCCTATAGGTAAATAATAGTGTTTTTTTCCCTTGGACAGATAAGGAAAAAGTGTTTTTTTGTTTCAAAGGAAGAGCAACAGTCCAACCAACAATGAGACAGTCACATAAAGTATTCACAAAGTAAAAAAAAAAAAACATAGTTAAAATTTTGAAAAGTGATCTAACTGCCCTTTGTCCAGATGTGGACAAACACTCCTATACTCTGCTGTCTGCTAGCTGTGTTGACTCAGGTGGCAGTGCTTGCACCATGCCTGTCCTGTACAGAGCTGCTTAATCCATTTGTCAGCTTGTTTGTTTGGTTCATGGCTAAGAATAGGTTAGACTGATGTGAGTACAGTGAGTGACCACATTTAGGTTGTGAATGCTTTTTTATTGTCTTCCATTTATATTATATGGTTTTCCCAGATCTATCAAACAAATGTAATGGAAGAAGCATCTTTCTTTTTTTAAACAGTCGGAACATGCTATTTTCAGTTGAACACTGCTTGCTACTCCCTCTAGCTGGGGTTTAAAAAATGTCTTTTGTCTTCCTCAGTTGAGGCTCTATACAGAAACACCCATCCAGAGTACCTGCAGTACATTTACTTGGTGGCTCCGGTCTCCCTCATGGTGCTAAATCCAATTGGTTTTGCATTCTGTGAGGTCCAGAAGCGGCGGGGTGAGCACATGCAGCATCAGAGTAAGCTGCATGTGGTTGGGGTGGTGCTGCTCCAGGTTCTCAGGAACCCCATCGTCTTCATGGTGGTGGTCGGGATTGCGTCACACTTCCTACTGGGCCAGAAGATCCCACCGTTCATGGAGGAGTTTGTGGATGGCTTGGCCAACTCGTTTGGAGGTGCGGCTCTGTTTTATCTGGGTCTGACCATGGTGGGTCAACTAAGGAAGCTGACAAAGTCCACAGTGGTGGCTCTGATACTGCTCATCACCGCAAAACTGTGAGTTTCCTGATAACAGTGAACAGGTGAAGTATTTAGGTATAGTGACAGTTACTGAACATTGAAATGCTTTGTTTTTTGTCACAACATGGCGCATCAACTTCTTCAAAAATGAAAGTTTCAGGCAATTTAAGGAATTCAATTAATTTGCATTTGCACAACCTCATTTGTTTTGTGAGCAGATAGAAGCTGTTTCTCTGCTGAAGGACTGGACCACGCGAAACTTTTGCTCTTATATATGTGGACTGTTGTTCTGCAATAATAGTTGTCTATTGTTCCTTTAGTATCATATGGGTTAGGGTTAAGAGGTTCAGTGTTCTGTTTCCTCTTTCTTAGCACAGTTTCACATTCAGCATTTGCCCTAAATACATTGTGTTGTAATGTAGCACAGTTAAATACTGATTATTATTGCAATCCTCAGGCCAGTCTGTTCTCATGGATCACATCTCTCTGCACTGATTACTTACATTTACAAGTAGTGTTTTGACTCTGAGTTTTGGTTGTTGACAGTGATATCTGGCTCCTCTGTGCTTAAGAATTCTCATGGCGACAAAGCAAGTTTGGGCCTGTGTGAGGAAACATATTCCTGTGCATGCTCTGTAATTTAGTCTGATCTGTAGCATTTTAAGCTTTCCTGTTATATAAAGTGTTTCCTAGTGTAGCTTAGAGAATGTTGAGTCAGGTGCCAGATGATCAGGATATGTGAAAACGGTGATTTAAGAGATTACAGAAAAATGTAGGACAGTTCTTAGCAATAACTGAGATTTTCAGACCAAGCCAAAGAACTTGATAACTCTGCATTTAAAATGGAATTCCCCCAGTCTTTCAAGATTTCTATACAATTAAATTGTTGAGTCAGAATTGTGTCTTCAGATGTCTTAAAAGTTTAATGCCTTTAAAAACTACATCATAGAAGGTTATTAGGCAGAATAGTTATGAATATGTTACCGGATGAGTGACACATTGTTTTGTGATGTGTCTAAGAAGATTTTGGCCTAAAAAGGGTTTTTTATTTTTATTTATTTATTTTTTTTGTAAATGTATTAATGACTGAGTTGTTCATGCACAGCGTTGTAAGGAAAAGTCGTACCCAAAGAAAACACATTTTTCCAGATTTACCATTTTATCATTTTCTTTTATATATAATATTGATAGACATGTGAAAGTTCGCTTGTGGTTTTGGATAGTGAAAAAAAGGCTATATTTGTGCTGAAGAAATCTCAATTCCTAGTTCGTATCACCACCAATATAAAGAGATCCAACGTTCTCGAGAACAGAGCATTTAAACTCAGAATACTCATGCAGACTTTGTTTACATCTCAGTGACTGAATTATGCAGAAAATGTGAAATTTACCCTTTAAGGAGAGCTTTATAATTTTAGCTCAAATACCGAATATGTTTACTCCATATTCTTCTGTGAACAATGTGTGTTTGTTTTGTGTTTTCCTCAGGCTGGTGATGCCACTGATTTGTAGAGGCATGGTGGAGGTTTTGGACAGTGGAAACTTTAGCTCTCTAAACCACAGCAGTCTGTCTAACTACGCTTTCCTGTACGGAGTCTTTCCCACTGCGCCCAGTGTGGCCATATATGCTGCACACTACAACATGGAGCTACAGGTGGTGAGTGCCTACTGTAGTGCATGATATTTGCATGTTGTATATGAAATGTGATATGGCAAAGACATCACGATACTTGAAGGCATTGCCATGGCATGTATCACTGTGTTTAGTGATTTGCAAAAGCATTAAAACAGACAGAAAATATTCAATGAAGACAGATAAATAGAACAGGACCTGACAAAAAACCGACAACTGGTAAAAATAAATTAGGAAAATAAGAGTTATAATTGCATAATAGAATAATGGTCTGACACTCAATTAGTAACTTATCCCCTAAATCTGTCTTTCTCATGAGGCATGCGGTTGTTCATTATTCTTGAAGTACTGTTCTTGAAGAAACTCATGATATGTTCAGTAGAGAGAATTGTAATGTAATGCACCACATAAGGATAACGTATTTTGTAGGGATTGAACAATGCAATGTATCAGATTGCATTGATTTGTTTTGTGGTGTTTTATTATGACTAGTGTAACTACTCTAGTGTGTTAGATCAGGAAACCATAAAGCACAGCTTTTATGACAAATATTGTACTTTTATAATATTGAGTTCTTTAATTTAGTGTTTCCCAACCTTGTTCCTGCAGGCCCACTTCTCTGCATGTTCTGGTGCTTTCCCTGCTTTACAACACAAATTTTAATACAGTAAAGGGTTTTTAAAAAACTGATTATTTGGATCAGGTGTGTTGGGAGCAGTGAAAAAAAAAAAGAAAATAAATACTTCAGTCATGCCTTGTCTACATTTTCGGTTGCATGAGTTTAAGATAAGAGCAAAGTCTGTTATTTCTACTTAAACATTAAAATGTAATGACATGACTCATTGATGCATTTATGGATAAGAGGATAGAAGATTTACGTAGTAAAGGCTGGTTTTAAGTGATCATTTCTCTAATTTTGTTTGTTGTAGCTGTAATGTTTTGACCACAGTGTACATGATATAACACATTTGCATAATGAATACTTCAGTTTTTAGTGTATGTTGACATTGCATGGCCACCTCTGATTGTACCTCAATCTCCATTCTCTAGGTGACCTCAGGGATGGTTATCAGCACCTTTCTCTCTGCCCCTATCATGTATGTCTCTGCCTGGCTGCTGACTATTCCCTGGATGGATCCCAAACCACTAGCATCTGCGTTGCAGAATATTAGCTTTAACATCAGCATTGTCAGCCTGTTTGCACTGGTAAGCAGACATTTATGCATGTAGAACTGACTGTTCCTCTTCTTTTTCCTCTTTTCATACTTCGCTTCTGTCCCTTTTTTGTGTTTTTGCTGCTTTTTTCATTGTTCCTTGTTGTAAAAGCTATGTTGCAACACTATATTTGTTAATGGCTTTTAAACAGCCTCCTTTGAGCTGCTCACTCTTTTTTCACTGTTTCTGGCTCCTCTAACTCAGCCTAATATTATGGGATTATGCTAAATCAGTTGTTACCATAATAACTGGGGCAGAAAAATAACCGTTACATATTTAAACTGACATGTTGGGGTTGCACTGGAATAAATATCCACTGTGACTCTTGGGCTATGGATATCAAAGTAATGACAATTAGAAATGTAAAACTGGAGTATTTGGAAAGTGGTTGGAGTAAAACTCAATCTTTTAGCCAAATGGTTAATATGAGAGAACTACCTTGTAATGTAGCAGTAGTGAGTGCTTCTAAGATAAAAAAGTTAGCTCAACCACAGTGGGGCTGCACTTCCTTCCTCTTTCTGGTTGTCATGAGCTCTACTCAGGAAACGTAAATAGGTTAACAGTAAAAATGTAATAAATGTAAACAGGTCTCCTCCCAAACAGGTGGCCATTGAGCCATGCTGTCTAATCACAAACTGTGTTTGTCCACTGTCAGGCCCTGTGTATCACTTTGAAACTTGTTTACATTATCTCAGTGAAACTGAAATGAGAAAAGGAGAACCTGAAATACCTGTACCCCTTCCAGTGCATTTTTTTGCTCAAGTGCAGAGCAGCTACCCTACAGTAACCTAATGTCACCCTTCTTCTGTAGATGGCCAATTGTATGTGTTTCTGTTGCAGGTGTGGTGTGTGGCTGTAAAAATAATGAGTAAGAAAGTCTGCAGTCTTCCTCATATGTTTACAGTTAATCTGTTTGTGGCACAGGTGAGGCAATTAAATGTTTTGACAACATAGTCAAGACTAGTTTGTGGGTGTTCAGACCAGAGTGAATCTCTGTATGTCTGAGCTTATTTCTGTTGTTTTCAGTGTTCTGATGCTCTACTTTTTCTGCTCCCCACCCCGTGTGTAGTTGGGGGTATGTATAGGTATGATTGCTTGGAACTTTGTAGTGGTTAAAGATAACTTCATTGGTCAGGTGTTTACCTTTACTCTGCTATATGGCTCACTCTACAGTACCTACATATGGCCAGGTAAGACTCACACAAGTACAGTCTTGCTGATTGATTCCTCTTAATATAACCCTCATGAATTGTAAAGTGTTCTTCGATACAACTTTCTTAACTATCTGTGTTTTAATAGGATTGATAGCCATCTCTCTCTACCTGTTGAAGAGGGATGAGCAGCTAAAGGTGCAGCCAGGTATTATAATGATCATTGGCTGGGGGTGAGTGCTGCTATTTTTTCCTTTTCCTTATTTGAGTTTTCACATGAATGCATTTTCAGAAACCTTTTCAGAACCCTTATTTCCTTTTTAAGTTCCTGGTGTCATGTAAAAGCATTCTATAGAGAATTCATTGTAGAATGCTTTTGAATGACATTTAAAGAAATGAAAGTATATGGTTCGGTTTTTTATACTGCATTTTTTCACCATTTATGATTTCTGAATTGGTAAAATTACAGAAGAAGGAGAAAAATCTTATTGACTTTAATGTATGGCAATGTACTGATAGTCGTATCTGAAAATTTGAACACACCCAGTCAAAGAACATGTTTTGTTGATTTTCTTTGTGAAAATAAATTTACACATCCTCTGCTGGGAACAAACTGAAATATGGAAATTGTAGTGCAAAGTTTTTATGAGCTAAACATATAGAAAAAAAATAAAAAATGAAATAAGATGTGCCATAACTTTCAGTCAAAAAAAAAGGAAAAAAAAACAGCAATGTGCAGTATTGTGTTCTCTGTGGAGAATGTCTACTTATTTTCACAAATAAGTAGACATTTCATCAGGGGCTCCTGATGTCATTTCATCAGGGGCTCCCAAACTTTTGCATATGACTGTGTTTTATTGCATATAATTTTGAGTCATTTTTGTTGGCTTTGGTCTTTGTATTTGTCATGAAATGTTGACATAACTTAAAGGGCAGATGGCATAAGAAAGAAAATAAAAAAACGTTTTTGATATGACTTTTTAAATCTTGTTTATTTATTTGCTTTTGTAGTTGCTTTTTATAACTTTTAGCAAGAAGATGCACAGCTGTTTATGTATACAACATAAAAAGTGCCTTATATTGTCTTATCACTACCATTCACAGTGTGCCAATGGTTGCAGTAAGCATTCTCCTCATGGTGGGAGAGAAAATGCAGGACACCATCGACTCTGCTTTCTTTTTTGGCACATCGCAGGTAGAGAAAGACTAAAATACATATTTAATCCTGAAGAGTGCTGTGACAAAAAAGGTGGTCACAAGCAAAACTGTGTTGATTATGAATGACTTGCTCTTCTATTTTTATGTGCTTTTTTTTTTATAAAAGCTGACTTTCCTTAGCTTGTTTTCACATATGCTGGTTTTATTGTCAGACACAAAAGACCTCTGGGCTAAAAAAGCCATTGTATCTACAGACGATGTGTTTAGCTGATTCACTGTCTGATGGTTTTTAGGGCTTCCACTTTCTGATAAGCGCACAAACAGTCATGTATTGAAACATGCAGTGTGTAATGTGAAGTGTGTCCCTAAAAATGATATTTTCACATGTAGAGAAAGCAAAATTTGTTTACTTTCCTATAGATCCCACAAGCTGCTGAATGTAATTTTACTTCTGATTTCTGTTCCTCTGTCTCCTTCTGTGTTTATGTAGATATTTTGCACATCAGTAGTGCTGTGTGTGGGTATAGTTGTAGCAGGTGTGTCTCTCATGCTACTCAGCAGAGGCACCCAGGAATATCAGACCCTTGAGCAGGAAACAGCAAATGGCACTGCAGAAGACCTGAGAGCAGACAACAGCGTGCCGGCCCAGTGCACTTTTGAGCAGTCTTCCATAGAGGATGACATCAGGCCAGGTATAGCATTATACTATTGCTAACATGTCTCTCATTTAGATCTAAATATCTTGTTTTGTGTCTGAAGTCGGTAGCCTTACTTAAATGTTTGCAAATATTAGTTTATTTTTTAGCGCTTTACATTTTTGTCTCTTTTTTTTCCCACCCCCAGAGTGTAAGGGCTGTCAGTGCAGTAGTGCTTCTGTTCAGTCAATGACTAATATGGTTATCAACAACAGTGTGAAGGACACTTCATCTGCACAGCAAGGTACACTATCACTCTTGTGCTCACTTATCATTATTACACTAATTGATCTTTCACTTATTTTACGTTATGTCATGTTCCTGCATATCTCGCTTTTATTTCAAAGTCCATCCCCCTGATTGTTCAGCACTCATATTCAGGCACTCTAATTTTCCTTGTTTTCTTCCACAAACTACTACTACTGTGTCACTGGCTTGGTCTCGCTGTCCAGTAATATGTACTATATTGTGGTTTACTCTCTCAGTCTGAAACACCTTAACTCTGACATGCCTTAGATTATTACCTCACATTTCTTTGTATTTCTGTTCTTTAACATTAGAAGGACCTGCTCATACATTGTAAACTCCACCCATTTATTTAGGCTTTATGTTATGTAGAATCTGCTGTACTTTGGGAGATATTATAAGCTAGGGTTGGGCAATATGACAACGTTTATCGCTATCATGATAAATTATGTCACAATACAATACAATATAAAATGCTTTTCTGAACAAATTGTGCATATCGTCAGTACTTTTTGTTATAAAGATTAAAATTTATCTCGTTTAACTGAATTTATTGCAACACAGTATGCCAAATATTGAATAAAAATCACTGTATTCACAGTTTTTGATAGTGTTTTAAAATCTAACACTACTTGTTCTTCTTTCTCTGTTCCAACTGATCAGATGTCTAAAAAAAGTAAATATTGTGACATATCTATCGTGAAATTTTTTTTGAAGTATCGTAATATATCACCCACCTCTATTATAAGCTGACTTTTTGAAAAAAAGAAAAAAAAGACTTGAACAACAGAGAGTAGGTCTGTCTTTCTGTGCTGTTTGTCTTCTTACTGTGCTTCAGTTATCAACTAATCCCACAGGTGTAAAAATCTTTCACCAAAAGACGCTTGCGCAAACTCTGAAATTAGGCTGTACCACAACAGCTGTTACTCAGCAGATGAGTAAGCACAGTTGACTTTACACGGTGTAGTTGGCTTTGAGTGGCTGTGTTTAGACACATTTTGTGTGGTGCAATTGTGGTGTCAATTTGGATGTGATGGTTGCATCAGCTGTAAAGCAGACATCGATATAATCTTCGTTTAAAGACTGTCATGCAGTTATCAGGGTCTGAGCATATAATCCTGTGTTATTTGCAACAACTAACAATTACACGTGTATCGGCTGTGTGTGTTTTTATTTTGCTGTTTAAAGTGGGATTTCCACAGATTTTTCACATTTTATGCATAATGTCGCTGTCCAAAGGAAAACATGCATCTTCTTTTTACATTTTTTTTGTTCTAGTTCTATACATCATCTGAGCCTAGCAGCTGTCCTTTCACATTGTGTGAAAAATTCATGATCAGTGGACTGACAGAAATGCTCCAAAATTGCTCGGAATAAAATCTCTTTACATTAACTTACATAGAAAATAAAGAATGTGTTTTGCCCTTTTCTGTGAAGTTATTATTTTGGAGATATTTGTTTTTCTTCAGACAACGATGGTGATTGTCATTATGGTGTATACAAAGTCATTCAAAGTGGTTTGATGTGAAATGGTTCATTGTTAAAAAAACGTACTAATTTGGAGTACTTAACAGTGGTGGTGAAAGGAAACAGGAACCATGTGTGTCAACAATGAAATGCAATGATGTCAAAATGCAAACACAGGAATTTTATTTACTATCCAAAATGGCTAGTAAACCTGGATGAGTTTTTACATGTAATGTTGATAACAGAGAGATGTTTTCACTGGGGACTATATTGCCTTACAATGCCTTGTATGTACCCCTTCACCATGAATGCATTTTAAGAAATTCGCTATAGGCCAAAACCTGGTCTTAAAACCATCATAAAACAATGTCTCAGGCATCAGGCAGCATACTCATAACCATTTTATATAATAGCTTTCTGTGAGGGAGCTTTAAGAGGCATCAGACTCTTCAGACGTCTGGTTCCTGTCACTACTACTGTGCTAAACTGTTTACTTAGTGTTTAGTTAAAGTTTGAGAAATCTGTACAATTCCCCTTTAGGGTTACAGGAGTATTCCATCTTCTTGTAAAGGCAATAAATGGGAACATGTAAATGGAAAAAGGTCACATTGAAAACATGATGTTTGCAGGTGAGTGCGGGAGCTGCTGTGATTCCTCTCATTGTTTGCTGGTGGAAGAGGAAGAGAAATGGCAGAGTGCAGACAGACAGATGGCCAGACATGCTTTGCTTTGCTTGTTACTCACCGTCAGTCTTCTTGCTGTAAGTACAGATTTACTTAGGGTCTTTCCTCCATTTGATGCACATTTATAGTATATTCTCATTGTGAACAACTTTTATTTTAGACCTGAAGGCAGGGGGGAGTTGGTGTGCATTTTTAGCAATCAGTGAAATTACTGTTACGTCAATGACCGAGAGGCACTGGTGTCATGAAACCACAGTTTGTGGTTCCAGTGACTAATGGTCTCTATTGGATGGCACTAGGGTAAACAACCTTTTGTAATGAGTGAAATTGTATTATGTCTGCACCACTAAAACCTCAGTATATCAGATCAGACTTTTTCAAATCTGCCATCTGTTAATAAATTATGAAGTGTTTTACACTGCATTTATAACCAGTCATCTCACCTTACTTAAGCACTATTACATATTCATTAGTTCTCTTTGGCATTGCTGATGTCCTCACTGACCTGCCTTTGCTATCACTGGGTGGAGATACTCTTATCTCAAGAACATGCCATTCATTCATGGTCCCTTGACCCACATTGTTCTAGAATCTCTCCAGCTGCCTCTGGTGGCTCCTTAGTCCAGTTCCAGGCAGGTTGTACTTGGAGCTACAGTTCTTCTGTGCTATCATCAACTTTGGACAGGTAAGGATCATATGTCATCTCATTCTTGCATCCACAGTTTAGTTGTGCATTGAGTTAATGCTCTGTTCTTCTCTCCCCACAGGGTTTCATATCTTTTGGAATTTTTGGCCTTGACAAACATTTAATCATTTTACCATTTAAAAAGAGGCAAGTTCATTCACTTTGCTTTGGACTGTAATTTGTGGTGATATATATATATATATATATATATATATATATATATATATATATATATATATATATATATATATATATATATATATATATAATTTTTTTTTAATAAAAATGTAGGTTAGCCAATCTGAGACAGGCTTTTGGTCAAGAGGCAGCGATCCAGTCAGACATATCTGAGGAGATCAGACTGACCTGTAATCAGTTCCTTAAATATCATAAAGAACAGTGTGTGCAAGACATCGTCCATAAGAAGAGGTAGGCATGCTCTACTGTCTCTGTTACTCTGTTGGCATCCTTGCATAATTAGACGCATCTGAAAAGTTTTATTTAACAAAAGTATATTTTATAAGTATCAGAAATGTTTTACAAGTTTGAATTTCAGGAAGTAATTCTCAGTATGGGCTGTTATTCCCTCTTATTCCTCATTAACTTCTCTTTTTCATTCTCACTTTTACAATGTCAGTTCTTCATTAATATGAGCCAGCATCTTTGTTTTGCCTCCCACCTCTTCCCTATTTGTCTGTGCTCTTTCTGGTTGTAGTGGTTGATCCTTGCTCTTCTGTGCAGGTGTGGGAAGCGGAGCATAGCAGAGACCTTTCTGGGTAGTGAAATGGTGCAGTGGCTGCAGACTGTTGGACTTGCTAGTGACCAGGGGGAGGCGCTATTGTATGGCTCACGGCTGCTGGAGGGTGGCGTTATCCACCATATCACCCATAACTATGGTTTCCTGGATGACACCCTGCACTATCGTTTCACAGAAAACATAGCTAATCACTAAAGCTGGATGAATATAAAGGCTAGAAAAGGCTAATGTTGGTTCAATTTCATCTTCAAAGTAATGCGCTGTGTGCCTAATTTAACTTGTAGTGTGTTATTATGGCTTGAGAGTAGTTTACACTGGGCTTACACTGACCCTTTCCTAACCTCTTGGGTATGGGATGGAAAAAAGGGACGGTAAGATTAACACTGTGCTGCTTATAGGACTAGGTGATGGTTTGCATGCTAAGTTGCATGTATAGCACCACTGTGTTCTGGGTATTTTACATGTAAATACCACATATTGAAGCTATAAGAGCTTCAAATATAGAGGAATATAATGGCCACAAAAATACAAGCTTTGTTACAATAATGCAAGTAGAAATCTTGCAGCAACAGGTACTTCTTCCAGTATCTCCTGGATACTCTCTATACAGAATAGTGCAAACAGCTGAAGCTAAAACATCTGGGATCAATGTAGGTCATCATAAAACCAGTCTGTGTGAAATCTTTGTCTTTTTCAGAAGTTTCACTTGGTTACAATTATTTCATATTACAGTTGTATGCAAATGTTTGTGTGCCCCTGGTCAAATTACATTTTTATTGAAGTCAAAATAAGTACATATTCTCCTTAGATAGCACACTTCTGCATGTTTAAAGGCACAATTACTGTTTGCTGAATAACACTGGGGGGAAAAAAGATGGCCTGTGCAGAAAAATGCCATATAGGTTTGTTCCCTGTAAAGGATGTTATTTCTTATTATATTTTTTTCTCATTTTCACTTCTATAAAACATGTCATTTGACCAGGAGTCTTCAAACTTTTTGTGTAAGAATGTATTAATGAAATTAATATTGCACTGAAAAAAAGTCTTCCATTAATAAGTTGGTACTTATTAGCTACGATAAAATCATTTTAACAGCTTAATAAGGTTTTATAAAGATTTCTCCAGAAATTGTTTATCACACTGCGAAAGGATCCTTTATTTGCAGCACTGATACAATTTTCTTTAACTGTATCAATGTTTAGGATAGTCAGACTAGCTAGCATGAAAAATTAGATTAAACATGAAGTGCTTTTAAAGCCAGAAACAAAAACAAAATATGCTTATATTGAAAGGAGGGTAAAATAGATGATCTCTACTTTACTTTATCCAGAACTCCATGCCTACTGCTTTAAATAAACATTGTCACTTAAGTTATGACTCCAATTCAAAACTTTTCCCCAATATTTCGCTTATACCTCTGACACATTGTAGGATGGAGCCATAAGTAAATTAATTATTGAGGTTTTAATGGTCAATATTGTTTCACATTCTCAAAGCCAAAGCTGAGGGAGGAAATCTGTTCCATCACTTTGATTAACCCAAATGTTTGAGCTTGAATCCCAGCCGTGGTCTGCAGGAGCTCTTCATGTTAGATCCTCAGGTGACCAGGCAGTCTGACGCTAACACTGTGTAACTCCAACTTGTATAAAACTTGTTTATTTGCAAAGAGATTATTTTGTGTTACTTATTTATAATACAGTTCATGCCATTTTTACATAATTACATTTGCCACACATTGCATATTTACATTAAATAAACGATTTCTCCAAGTTTTTATGTGTTATTGTACATTATTTTATTTATGTATTAAGCGCAGTGGGCTGCTTAACAAGTTCCCTATATGCAAAAAAATAGCATGTGTGATAACTGTTGATGATCCTTTCTTCCTGATATGAAGGGTTGACATGTTGGAAGTCTTCCTACGAAAGGTAATTTGGAATTTTACTTGGCTTAGTGTGCTATTGTACCTACATATTTTCAAAAATAATTAATGTACATAAATTATATGATTTACAATGTGAAAATTTTGGCTGCCACTTTAAGCTGGCATGCTAATGTTTCATGATCATGAAATAGTTCTAAAATATAGTTCTTCGTAATTTTTTAATGATCACTTTGGGTCAAAGAGTTCATCAGTCTGGCTCAGGCTTTGCTGTAAGCACTGATCTCTTCCTCAACAGTATTTGAGAACAGATGGACCAGCAGTGTTGAATCTTCCACACCTGTAGTCAGGTACTGCTCCATTTCTGTCACTTTCTGCTTCTCCAGCTCTCTCATTTTCTGGACAATCCTCTGACCTTTCTCCTATCACATAAACAGAAGATGTTTGGTTTTTACCAAGGTGAAAAATAAGACTAGGCAGATCATTTGTTCTGTTTTATAGGGATTCTGCTTAAATCTTTATAAATTAATTTTTACTTCAAATCAGAGCTAAAGCATAATAATAATTACAAAACATACTATGAAAATCTGATCTACTGAAATAAAGTTTTCCAGAAAGCTTGAGAAACAACAATAACATACCAGTTGGCATATGATCAAGGGAGCCAAAAAAGCACTGTGCAGAGAGGGGGACAGCCTAAGATGGTGTTTTTGTTTTTTTTGTTTGCTAAATATTTTTTTTAATTATTGGAGGAAGGCTAATATAATCGACCTCTGCTACAAAGGAAAACATAAACTTTGTTTCCAGAACCTACTATTTATGAACAATTCATCCATACACTGCATTTAAACCCTACAGCTACGTTAACTGTAGCAGATGGCAGGGGGTAGCTGTCACAGTTGTTTGAACCAGACAAGCTTTCCAAACGATATATATGCGTCAAGAATTAGCACACTAAAACAAATATTCTTTGTCTACGTCACATCTATAGTACATGTTTAATGACATCAAATGTTTATGAATCTGTGCATAAAAACCTACAAAAAAGTGACTTTTTAATTTATCTGTGAGAAAATGGACTTTGTTTAATTTAAGGAGGCTTAGTAGTAACACAGTGTTAAAACTAACCCTGCCATGTGGAGGCTGTACTTCAGCCTGGCTAGCTCAGGTTGTGAGGTGTTTACATGCTTTAAAATAGTGCTATACTCAACAAGAAGGCAATTAAAACAATATAAGTGTGACGTCTGTGACTCATACACACAATTTGGTGATTGAAAAAAGTTACTTTTATGGTACAAAAACACTCTTCAGGGTGAATCTGGATTGAAATTTGCAGATGGTGTTGCAATGAGAATACGAGAACATGACTAAAAAAATGTTTTACTTCAGCCTGTTTAACTTCATTAAATATCCATGTTACATTTTACCTTGTGTTGTTTATGCCCCATGCTCCTCTCCTGCTGTGCACTAAAATCACTGTTTATTATTCACTAACTGATTAATCATTCAACTTGGACAACTTACCCTTGTGCTGTCTATTATGGCAGCCACCACCTCGTGCTTTATGAATAGAGGGTGTTTACGGTTAGGTTTACTCTGAAAGCGAGGTTTCTTCTTTACTGGATCATCCTCCCCAAAACATGGAGAACATGTGTGCTTCAGCTGCTTTATGTCAGCCACAAAGATAAATGGCTTAAAAACAGATCTAAAGAAAGAAAACGCATTATGAATGGACCAGTTATTTCAGTAAAGTGTGGTGAACATTTTCAGTGGTTATTAATAAGAGTGTGCTGTACATGTAATAAAAGGGAATTGGAAATCTACATAAGACAGTCTAATTTTTTCCATAGTTTTACTGCAGTTACTCTGTAGTGCACTGGAAAAATTTCTTAATGTATGTACTACTGTTCTGAACATGTAAAATCAGGCTCCACCAGTCCAGACCTACCTTTCTGGGTCAGGTGTTGCAGTGAAGAAGTGGACCCCAGGCAGTAAGTGATCCTTAGGGATCACAGACACCATACTTCCGGTTGTCATGAACATGCCCTCCATATTAATTCCACTCTCTTTATCTCTTAGTATCTCCATCATCGTCTCAGCTGTGATATGGCCTGTAAATATGGCAACAATAAAGTGCTGCACTAAACAGAGAACCAACGTCGATCCTCAGTGTTTGTGTAGTCATTTCTCATATTGGCATTACTAACATTACATTGCGAATAAAGTATTATTACTTTTGACAGTCTAACTCCTGAAAAGCTTCAAAGTGCTTAGAGAGGACCACAAGTCACAGTATGCACTTTTTTATGTGAATTAAGATGTGGTGATTATTTCTCATTTTCTATTCTATGGTTGGTCACCTTTGCTTTTTTCCAGGAGCCTGCGGCCTTCGCAGTAACGGCTCCCAGAGGCCTCTATACGGCCTTTGGTAAGAAAGGAGTAAACTTCGGCAAAACTGAACTCCACTTTGCCATCCCACCAGCCCTGCTCCCGTGCATATTCACGCATCCTTGGGTGCTCCTTATCAATCTTGGTGGTGATGGAATACTGGTTGGAAATATTCCGATATCCATCTTAGTAGGAACAAAACAGAAAAGAATATACACACATACAGTGGATTTCTGTAGTATAGTACTTTTTTTGGTCCAACATAAAGACTGAGCATGTTATCCAAATATTAGGTATTCTCTGAGCTGAATCAGATGTGTCAAAACTGGGGAAAGACTAAACTGTGCAGCATATGTGTGCGCCAGGACTGAGACTGTAAAGCCAAGAGCCAGCTTCCCACATCCAGATTAAGCTAAAGTTTAGACTTAAAAGAATTAACAATAGTGATTTACTATTGGCATTGCAATTTAGTCCAAGGCTAGGCATAATCCATGGCCAGGAAACTAGCCCTGAATATTTAGATGAAGTGTCTAGTGACTGTAGAAGTAGCTACTGACAAGGGATAATTCTGGCTTACTCTCAACTCTTTCTGCTGCCCAGTATTTCCCAGAGGTTTCTAGCACCCAGGCTTCAGTGCGGTCACATATGAGAAAGCTGTTATGGTAGGTAAACGTGCACTCATCCTCCATGCAATTGCCTCCCTGCCCATATTTCTCCAGCAGCTCCACGATCACATCTACAGCCTTCTCTGCAGTGTCTGCTCTCTCCAGACCCAGTCTAGAAACACAACAGACCAGATACATGACAGTATTAACATCACAGTATGTTCAATGTTGGAAGAATGTAGTTATTTAGAGGAATTTGCCATTATCCAAAAGAAACACACAAACTGAAAAGATTAATATTTTATTAGCTTTCATACACTACATGTCCAAAAGTCTGTAGACACCTGCTTATTCAGTGTTTCTTTTTTCCCTTCTAGCTGATGCCTGGCTTAGGGCATGGTGATCTCAGGCTCATGTGCAACTGTTCCACAACATCCAGTTGTAAGGAAATGCTTTTCAATTGCAATATACAAGTTAAATTTTCTTAAATGAACCCCCTGTGTCAGCAATGGGTGCACCTCAAAGTAGCTGAATTCATTAATTGGAATGAAGTGTCTGGATAATTTTGGACATACAGTGTATCTTTTATATTGCACTGAAAACTACATTAGTGTTATTTCAGACTGTACCAGTGCAATCACCTGACTAGGTCCATTCCCAGCAGAGCCTCCTCGTGGTCAGCACTTTCTCTCCCCCACACAGCCTCATTTCCGATGCAGACCTGATGTTCATTTGCCCCCATTTCGGCTCCCCAGAGCCAAGCTGGTGTACTCAAGACTACAGCATAGGTATGGGCTATCTGCTCTATCTCTATGTATGTACACTGTCCAAGATAAGAAACAAGAGATAAATACATTTACTTTAATGGACACCTGCCTTCGTCTGCACACCTGTATTCCGGCAGGTGTCATAACCTATTGGTAGCTAGCAAAGATTCTTTCTCTGGATAGACAAAGCACTTTTTGTAAGTCGCTCTGGATAGGAGCGTCTGCTAAATGATGTAAATGTAAATGTCATAATTTGTCCAAGAATAACAGAACGCGTTTCTACCTTTAGTTCTACTCTACGTAAAAAGGGCCATTTAGACTGACCCTCCATCTTAGAAAACGAGCTATTAGTCTTGCATCATACCTCTACTTTTTCGCCTGGACTGTAGTCCTTGGCGGGGAAGTAGACCACCTCTTGGACTTCATCGCAAGGTCTGTCCGAGTTCTTCCCGAAGATGATGCGTTGGCCCTCGGTAGACGGAGGCAAAGCCACGAACGTGTCGCAGGAGGATGGCTTCATCCTGTACAACAAAAACCAACTAACATGACCCATGGACTTCAGCATGAAGAAGGCGCAAATTTTCATGAGGCCATCTCAAGCTATTCCCATAGTTTTCACTCTAAGACTCCACCATCACATTCTCCATCTGTTGGCATAAGTGCACTACTATATAAATATATATTTTTCAATTTAAACAAGCTCCGAAGCGTAAAAAGGCCAGATAAAACTGTAACGTCAAATACCTCAGCTAATTAACAAAGTAAACTCAGCAATAACCTCCTCATTCAAATACTGCAGTTCTCTTCAGGTTGAAATTGAACTGTCAGACTTTCTCTTTCATTTCCCCGTAAGTGAAGTTAAAATGCATGCTTACTTTCCCTAGACGTCTGCGGCGGTTTCTGGTGTAACAGAAAAATCGATTTTTAGATCAAATGGATTTGCTGCATGTGTATCATAACATTTGTTTCAGACAGTTCGTATATGTTACAAATCAGCGGAACTGTTCTTACTAAAGGTCAGAGTTTACACTCGCGCACTCCGGAAGCGCCTTTGGACCCAACGTAAACAGTAAGCTGTGTTTTGGTGAAAGCAGCGGCGTTTTCATTAAAATTCAGTCATGGGGAAGTCTTTCGCTAATTTTATGTGTAAGAAGGATTTTCACCCAGCGTCAAAATCCAATATAAAGAAGGTAACTAATGTTCGGTGCTAATTCAGGAGCGATAATTGATGATAAACACCGGTTAGGTTGCCCTGACCACGCAGCTATTGACTTAGCATATTAGCAAGCAAGCAGGCTCGCTATGTTACTCATTTAATTCACTGTTTGTTCACTTAACTGCGTTATATGGCTAACTTGTTTTGGTTATGCAGTTTGACTTCGGCTGCCGACGTTATTTTCACTGGAAGAATACGTTGAAAGTTTACGATGACCGCTGGTTAGCGTCGCTTGCTATGTAATACCGCGTCTGGCTAGTTTAGCTGAATTGCACTGGAAACTGTTTAGCTATCTTACTTATCTGGAAATTCTGTGTTGACCTAACTTGGTTAGGTAACAGAATTTATGTAATAACTACAGCGATAGTGACGGTCAAAATAGTAGTTGTTATCTGTAGCTAAAATTTATCCATTTGGATTTGAAGAGAATTGTGTACAGCCTAGTTCACTAATCATCGCTATTGTAAACTAAATCCCTTTATCACCTACATCTTAGGTATGGATAGCAGAACAGAAATTAAGCTTCGAGAAGAAGAAGCAGGAAGACCTGATGCAGGCTTACGTGAAAGAGCAGGAGACCTACAACAACAGGTGAGAATATTTATACAATGGTGCAGTAAAATACGCAGTGTTTGTTTCGCTTGTTTTTCAAACTAGCTATTCTGCGTATTTTAAAAGCGTTTTTTAAAAACTCACAGTTTACACAAAATAGGAAAGAATACAAACAAGGACATGAAATGAAGAAACGCTAAGGAAAAAGGGAAAAAAACGTTTTCAAGAAGAGATGTCCAGTGCTTAGGGCAGAAATAGTTTGAATTTGACTTCCTGCTACTCAGCTGTGTTTTAGGAATGACCAACATATTAAAATCAACTCTAAATGAGACATGCAAACAATAAGCAATTTTAGTAACTGACGAAGTTTTATGCATCATTCTGGTGAACTCGTTGTAATCTTTTGAGTAGGCCTGATAAGAGAGTGTTATAGAGACAAGGAGTATAACTATACTGGTCTAACTTTTTTGTGCTACTTCTGTTTTATCTTTCATTTAGTTGCAGAAAAACAGCCACAAGATAAAATCTTCATCGATAAAGCTAAAAAGTTCCATCTGTCATGTATTTTTTCCCACCTATGCACTAAACTTTTTTAGTAGTAAATACAATGAAACTGCAGGTAACTTTGTCCTCTAAAGTTTTCAGTGCATGTTTCTCCTGATCAAGAGTGTGTTTTAGAGATTCATTTTAAACAGCACAGTATGTGCAAAGAATTTAGGCTTAGGTGTGACTGTTCTTTTTTACATTTGATTTTCTAGTATTTTTATTTATTCATATGTAAAAACATAAAGAATTGCCCCCTAAACCTGTCTTTCAAGCCATCCACTGTAGTATATAGTTTGTTTTTTCCCCTTGTTGTCAAAACCTGTTGTTGCCATAAGATGGCAGCATTGTCACCTGTAATCATATTTATTTGATAATCAACTTACTACTTACTGTATGTTTCAGGCTGCTAATGGGTGATGATAGAGTGAAGAATGGTCTTAATTTCATGTATGAAGCTCCTCCTGGTGCATCTAAAGGTAATTATATTCTGAATAGTTTAATTTAGGGTCACATGCCTTCATAAAGTTTTGTCTCTTGATTCTTGTCTGTCTTTCTCTGCTTTTTTCTACTTATTCCCTGAAAATGAGAAGAGGAGACCAAAGAGGTAATTTTTTTCATTAAGACCATCAAGCATCTTAGTATTAAGAATATGTTTAAGTCCTGGTTGGTAATGACAGCACTTTTTTCAGATGTATTAGTCTTAAAGTTGGTGTTTTAAATCTCTGTTTAATTTGGCCTTTGCAGGAAGGAGAAGCTGAATATAAGTTTGAGTGGCAGAAGGTTGCTCCTCGTGAGAAGTAAGTACTGCTATTCATTGTGTAAGCAGAAATAATTGAGGCTTTTTTCCAAGTTTCTGTTTTTTCTTACTTTTATTCTCTTTAGATATGCAAAGGATGACATGAACATCAGAGATCAGCCTTTTGGGATCCAGGTAATGTGTTTTTTTTTTATTTATTGTTTTTCTCTTTCCTATGTGTATTTAAGGTAGAGTTTAAAAGTTGAACTAAGTATTTATTCATGTTGTCAGGTTTTATTAATGTTTTTGGTCTTTATCTCTTCACACTGTAAATGGACCAGTCTGTGAAGTTCTAGTATTTGTTTTTCAGGTGCGAAATGTGCGATGTATCAAGTGTCATAAGTGGGGTCATGTGAACACAGACAGAGAGTGTCCTCTCTTTGGCCTGTCAGGCATCAATGCTAGCTCTATGGCAAGTGATGAAGCAGGTATGCGTAATTAATTACATATAATGAAATATAAAACCATCACCTTAATACATATTAGTTAATCTCAAATGCTGCTTTACATATCTGATTGCAATGAAATAGATGTTATTAACTGGGAGTAATAATTAATGGTCTACTTTTCATGATGTATCCTTAGTTGATTGTCATTTTTTCTCTATGCATATATGGCTTATGTTAACTAATTATTTTGAGTTACGTTGGTCATTGTTGTGAATGCTCTTTGTGCTCTCTCTCTGGCCCTAGAGGTGGCAGTGTTGCCATCTCAGCATATGCTAGTACATGTATATAAGATTCACTTTTTATCTGAATCTAATTTGAAAGAGTTTTTTTTTGTGATTGCTTGCTCATTTTTGTACACTTTTCTTTGACTTGTACAATTACACCATATCTTTTAAAAAGACAATATTTGCATAATGTAATTTGAGTGTCATGTAGCTGTTTTACCAGTTACACAGAGCACTTGAAAATTTGTGCTGAGAGTCATGAGTAATGTTTTAGCTTTGGATCAGATAGATTTAGTTTGGGCAGTCTGTTTCACTGTTCCACGATCTCCTGAACCGCTCTTAGTGCAGGAAGCAGTACTTGTGTGTGCTGAGGGCTGTAATCAGAGTGTGTAGCAGTACAGTAATGTGTTTACTGCTCCTGGGTCCAGCTCTACAGTTCTGTGACTAGCCCCCCTCCTGCGCTTCGAGAAAAATGCAATTATTGTGTATTCTGATTTGCTCTAACCGCTGCTTTGGCAGAATAATACGGTATGATTTGCCCAGTCAGGGGACGAGTGAGTTGATTTGGTGTCCCTTTCTGTTAACAAAGCCGGTGCTGTGCTCCCCTCTGAGGGGGATGCAGACACACATCAATGGGACTCTGAGGCTGTGTTTTGTACTAACAGGCCCGTCGATGCACCCCTCCGAGTTAATGGCAGAGATGCGGAACAGTGGGTTTGCGCTGAAGAAATGTGTCCTTGGGAGGAACGCCACTGTTTGTGATCCAGCACAGGTAATCTCCAGGTCCACCCCCCCCCACTCACCCCCTCAGGCTCAAATAAGACCAATGATATCCATGCCCAGTCCTGAGTGAGGAGGAGAGAAAGTGTGATTGCAGCAAAACGGCCAATTATCAGACCGGCAGCGCACAGTGATTCCAGTCAGTGCAAGTTTAGTCAAGAGGGCAGGGTTGATGAGACTAACTGCCGAAATTATAGGTGAGCAGGGAAGCAGACACACTGCTTATTTTACAGCTCTACATAGCTTACGCTGCTCACTTTGATTTGTCCTTACATACACATACTAGTTTCTGCTTGTTACAAGCTCATATACATCTGGTGCATATTATGTGTATTTTGTCCTTTTAGAGTTTGCAAGTTTCTTGAGTGTGTTTGTGTGTATTCTGTAAGTCATGATATGATGATCTAATGTGCTACAGGAATTTGTGGCTAGTGAGGAAGAGGAGGATCCTGAAGTCGAGTTCCTTAAATCTTTAACCACAAAGCAGAAACAGAAGCTCCTCAGGTATGTATAAATTAGTCAGTGTTCCTTATGGAAGTTCCTTAATTTAGCTGCTCTCTTACCGACTTAGTTATATTAAAAAACAACAGAAAACAAAACAAGGAATGTGGAGGTATTGTTAATGTTCACATTTATTCCTGTTGTGTGTATTACTTTTGTGAGTATTTGTAGAACATAATAGTTCAGTAACTGAACTATTCCCCTGTTACAGAAGTATTAATGTGTGTTATAAGGAGGAACCATAGAGTTAGTTTGCACTGTTTTAATTTACTCACCCATTGACATCTTAAAAGGTATTGTCATTCTAATCTATCTTTTTGTTCTTTTAAAGAAAACTTGACCGCCTAGAGAAGAAAAAGGACAAGAAGAAGAGCAAAAAGGAGAAAAAGAAAAGTAAACATATGCAGAAGAAAAAGACGAACGACAGTTCCTCGAGCAGCACCTCCGACAGTTCCAGCAGCTCTGACTCTGATTCAGAGAATGAAAAACACAAAGTGAAGAAAGAGAAGAAGAAGAAAAAGAGGAGAAAGAAGGACTCATCCAGTGAGAGCAGCTCTGATGGCGAGAGTAAGGGACGAGGCAGAGAAAAATACAAAGAGCCATGCAATAGAAACCGCTCTCATAGTCCTGAGGCCAAGCACAGAGATAATAAACATACACATACACAGTCAGACGAACAGGATAGGAGAGCAGAAAAGGGTCATAGGTCACCGCGTGGAAATAACATCAGAGAGAGAGAACGTAGGAATAACGACAGAGACAAGAGCAGAAGCCTTCGGAGGAGAGGAAACGAAAGAGGGAAGGGTAAGGAGTGGCACAGGGATGCAAACGGAACAAGCAGAGAGGATGAGAGAAACAGGAGTCTGAGCAGGGAGAGAGGGAGGGAAAGCAGAGACAAGTGTAGGGACAGAGATAATGAAAGAGAAAAGGAAAGGAGTGTGAGTAGGGATCGGGGTAGAAATGAAGAAGGAAGGCATCGAAGCTTGGACAAAGACAGCGAAGGGAGGAGGCCCGAGAGGAGCCGCAGCTTCGAGCGAAGTAGAGGTAGAAAAGAAAGAAGCAAAAGTCTTGAGAAAGAGAAGGAGAGGGAAAGAACCGAAAAAAGGAGGAGTAGAAATAGGGACAGAGTGAGGGCTGGGAAAGAAAGGCACAGGAGTCGAAGCAGAGATGATGGGAAGAGACGAGAGAGAAGCAGAGAAAGAAAACACGAGCTGAAATAGCTCTCGTCCTGCTGGTACAATTCATGCCAGTCCATTTGTATTTTACTGGGTACTTTTATTGTAAGTCTTTTGGAGATGGTTGTCATGACCTTACTGCAATGTTTATTTTTTTTCTCTCATAAATTTTTCTCACCCTTTAAATAATGTTTGGTTAAGACTTTTTATTTCGTGTTGTGTAAGTTATGGATCAGTTCATAGCTATGCAGCTTTTCTTCTGTCCCTCTGCGGCCAGTTTGCCAGTAGAGGGCAGCAGACTACTTTAGAAAAAGCGATGAAGCCACATCAAAATTCTGATGTAGAATACAGCACTGTTTTTGTGAAGTTTATAAGATTGCTTACTGATTTGTATATGAGCTGGCTGCTCAGTTCCGAGACGCACTGCTTTCCAGAGCCAGTCACTCACCTGCAGTCTGTGCAGTCAGTTTAAATGGGAGCACAAGGGGGATTCTTACAACTGCTCAATGTTTTTGTTGATTTATCATGGGGAGTTTTGTAGTAGATAGATGTTAGCTAGATGACCATTTGTTCTTATATTTGTTCCCACAAAATGACGTGGTAATTATTATTTATACAGTGATAAATTCGCGGATATCCACTTTCCAATCTTGATTATGAAACGGCACAATTCGCATATAATGTATTCATTTCAGTTTAGTTGGTCTTGAACCTGAAGTGTGTCCAGAAGCTAAACTGATCAGAATGGATTATTAAAAGAAAACAGGAGGACTGTTCCAGTTTTAACAGTAAAGCATGGTGGTTGCTGTTGAATTTTGTCCACATTGTGTAGTTAATAACGCATCTTTCCAGATTCCCTTACAGTTCAGTTTTGCGCTTTTACTGATGAGTTTTAGGCCACAAAAATCTTGCTTTAGAGTTTTGTATTCACATGGCAAACTCCACATTTCCACCAGACTGAAATTGTCTATTTTTATCTGCTCTTTCGCAAAATTCTGAGAGGTCCAATACTGGCGCGCTCACGGCTGATTTCCTCTCTCTCATTATTTTATATGTCAGAATGAAATCGCAGGCGCTGCCGGTTCTGCGAAAGACGAGAAAAGCGTCAGTGCTGTGCAGGTAGTTCACTGTTCTCGGAGTGAGGTGTTCGCTTTGGTTAAAGCCTCAGCCTTTCAGTGCAGCGTATTAGCCGGTCATCGTTTTATCGCAGACCTGCTGAAGTTATGTTACAGTTGACCATCATTCAGTATTAAATTTCTCTTTCTTTATTTCTGAGATACTTGAAACTCAAACGGTTTTGCCAGATCCAGCATAAACATTAATCGAGCTTGAAGCTGAGCAGAGGTGGCGCTGCCGTTTGAAATCTTAAGTAATTGTTGTCATTCAAGGACCATGAAGCTGATATGATTTCCTACATGATGAACTCGTGAGTGTGAACCCCGAGTGTCCTAAGTTACGCAGGAAACTGAAAACTGGATGTTTAACACTGGATATTTAAAATCTTAGCGCGGTTTGAAATGTCACTGTTATCTGAACTCAAAAAACAGTATATTTAAATTGATCTAAACGAACCAATCAGTGAAAGTCCAGCACTGAACTACTGCTAAGCTGTTTGAGACGCGTTATGTCATCACACGAGGTGGACAAAATGCAGGACAAAATTACACACGCACACCGCTTGCTCTGCTGTTTAACATGAGGTTAAACTGGTCCATTTTGATCAGATATTGGTAATTGTAAAATGATATTTTAGTTTCAAGGGCACTCAGTAAAAACACACACAACACATTATGTAAGTGATTTAGGCCTTTATAATTAAATATGTAACTTTGGTAGGCCGCTTTAAGTGGAAGGTCCCTCAGTAGAGTCACACGGGCTGTCCGGGTCAGGCCTGGTACTGATTCAGTCACAGAAGCGGCTTTGAGCGGCTCCGTCCTGTGCGGAGTCTCGAGCTCGGCGGCTTTAGCTGCAGGTCGCGCGGGTGGCTTGTCTCTTTGATCTTTTTTCATTGGAGCTCGCGCACAAAGCGGCTCCCAGCACGAGCAGCGGGACTGAAAGAGCTGAGTGACCCTAAAAGCCCTAACAGCCCTGAGCCCCCCTGTGAGCGCGGAAGGCCCGGTGTGTAAATCCTGGCAGCACCGCGCTGATGAACACCGCTCCGTTTGGAGTGGATCCGCCATAAACTCGCAGTCAGGCTCTCCTACATTAACTTTTAAAAGGCTGCAAATCAGACTCAGCCAGACGCCCGCTGTTTGATAAAAAGGTTTACAAGAGGAAAACAAACTGTTGTCATTTATTTAACGCTGTTTGTATCTCGGTTTATGTGTCCGCTGGATTTTAGATTTTTATTTATTCTGTTTATTCGTTACAGCCGATGCGATAATAAAAAATCTAGGCCAAATTTCACCGTGTCATTAAACGATAATGGGTCGATTTCTGTTTGTGCATTTTGCCCTCGGCGTCGCCGGTACGACGGGCCACCAGCGCACAAAAGGAAATGAAAATAATTTTCGTCTATTGCCTTCTGGTCAATTTAGCGCGCTCTCCAGAAGGAGCTTTTCTGGTAACGAGGTTCCCAGACCGGGCTCGGCGCTGCAGCCTAATTATGCCACGCTTTTTTCTTCCTCACTGCTCGGACGCTGCGCTGGACAAACACAAAGGAGTCCGGGAGCATCCCTGGACCCTTTCAGCTCAACGGCCAGTGATATTCAAATACCAGCCAGAGACCATTTGACTGCGCCGCAACAAGAGCATTCGAGATTCTCCATTAGCATATGGCTTTCCCCATTTTTTTCTTTTCAAAAGTGGCAGCCCCCCAAAAGGGGGGAAAAACTGTTCCCATAACACCAAATCAAGTGCAGCGCTAAGAAAGGCTAAAAGCTGCTTTATGCCTCGGCCCTCTCCTAGATGGACGTTTCCCGTTTGACATGCAAATGTAAGCAGTTAATTTGAGCGATTAAAATAAATATTCAGCGGCCTTTTGTCACCGAGCCCCCCTCGGAAAACGCTCTGATAAAGAGCGCCTGAACAAATGATGTCTCGGAGATTAATTAGATATTTGATAAGACACGAATCCCTAATCGCCAATACAAGACACATGGGGCTGCGATGTGCTCCAAGTCATAATTAATACTATTTAACAGGATTTTCATTTGGCCATAAAATGCCTGTTCCGGGCATTAACTATTGATTTATCCCACTGGGAAAGTGTGCGGCGATTTGCGTTTGCGCGTAGCAGAGCTGCAGAATTGATTTATACTATTTACAAATGTACACACATGATTTCCCTTTTTTTCTCAATATGAAACACCAAATCATTTCTGAAAAGGCAATAGATTCTGTAAACCTGAGCGACTGCTGGAGACATTTCAGGAAAAAACAGACACAATTTCCTCAAAACAAATTCATTTCCGACAAATAAAAATAACTTTCTTCAGCACGTCTTCCAAACAACAACAAAAAACGTTTCGATTTTAAATCCCTTTAATTACAAAATCAAAGCCTTATACGCGAGACTTTATACAATTAAACATTTATATATTTTTAGCAAGGTAAAGAAAGGAGTAACTGAATTTTAAATAGCTGTGTTACATACATACTGACATCCACAAAGTGCGTCGAAAGTAAAGAAAACTCCCTGAATTTCAGGATCCACCACAAAACAGTCAGAAGGGACATTTACAGGGGAGGGGACAAAAATAATGATGGTGTTTGTGGGTGTATCTACACAGTTTAGCTCAGCTCGCAGTTTTCCAGCCCTGTTCGGTCGGGGTCACTGTGTTGCGCACCGATCCAAAGCAAAGATAAAGCAAAGATATTCAACCCCCTTCGCCTACATTTTAACCGATCGATCGTCCTGCAACGTGTCGATACAGCATAGAAATAACCACGCTTAGGTTTAAATATTTATATCCCAGTTAATGAGCTGGGATTAAAAAATGGTGGGTTTCTCTATTTCTCAAAAGAAAGAAAAGAAACCGAAACTGTCAAACTGTCTCCAGAGCAGTTCATGAAACTCCAACATAAAAGAAAGAAGGAAAGAAAGAAAATGGCCTACACCGTCGCGAAAGCAGTTCTTGAAACTCCTGACCCGTTTCTTTCTCCTGTGTCTGTCTGTCACAGCCTAGCAGTCGCGCTTTCGGAGAGGGCTAGATGTGTGCGTGGTCAGCTGTGTGGTGAGTGTCAGTCAGGACTCGTGGTGGGGAGACTGCTGCTCTTTGACCGTGACCCGCGGGTTCACCGCCTCTAAGATCAGTTCCGGGGACTCGGACCTGGGCGTCTCCAGGTTGCTGGTGTCGGTGTCGCTGTCGCTGCCCTTTTTGCCCCCACCTCCGGCCGTGTGTGTCTTAATGTGCTTGCTGAGGTGGTCGCTGCGCATGAAGCGCTTGTTGCACACGGGGCACGCGAAGCGCTTCTCGCCCGTGTGCGTGCGCAGGTGCCGCTGCAGCTCGTCGGAGCGCGTGAAGCGCTTGCCGCAGAAGAGCCAGTTGCACACGAAGGGCCTCTCGCCGGTGTGCCAGCGCAGGTGCGCCTTCAGGTGCGACGTTTTGCCGTAGACCTTGCCGCAGCCCGGAATGTGGCAGCTGTGCAGTCCTTTCCTGCGCAGGCTCGCGCCCGCCGGGCCCAGCCGCTCGGCCTCTTGGCAGTTGGGGCAGTCGCACGTTGCCCGGCCCGAGTATCTCCGGGAGGAGCGCGAGGAGCTGGCAATGCTCGAGCCCGCGCCAGAGATCATGGCGTTGGCGGCCGCAGACGTGTCCGTGTAGGCCGGGATGACGGTCTTGAAGCCATCCTGCGCCAACAGGTGCTGGCCGGTGGACAGCAGGTGCGACGCGCTCGGGCTGATGCCCGTGGAGCTGAAGGCGGAGTGCGTGAGCGCGGGGAAGTCGGGGTTGTAGCCGCTCAGCTGCGAGTGGATGGCCTGCGGCGTGCCTGAGTGCAGCGACGTCTGCAGCGAGCCGGCCGGGTTCTGCACGTCCAGCCACGAGCCGGGGCTCGTGTGGACGTCCCACCACGAGCTCGCGCCGTTCGCCACGTCGCCCGAGATGGTGGAGTGGAAGCCGGACTTGTACCACGACTCGTACGGGTGCGCCACGCCCACGCGCGGGTACAGCGTCTCCGCGGACGTGTGCACTTTGGAGATGAACGCCGACTGCCCCGAGTCCTGCGAGCTCACGCCCGCCGCCGTGTTGGAGAACAAGCTGCTGTACTCGCTGGAGAAGGCAGACGACGTCGGGGACGTGGAGGCCAGGCAGAAGGCGCTGCTGCTTGCGCCCGTCGTGGCCGGTAGTCCCGAGCTGCTACGGCTCGTGGCCACGCTGAAGCCGGGCAGGCTGGAGCCCAGGTTGCAGCTGGACGAGGATCTTTTCCACGGGTGAAATCCGCCTTTGGAGAAGGCGCTGGAGTCGGGCAGCGTGGTGAGAGGACTGGTGTTGCCGATTTTGTTGCAGGTCGCAGCCAGCATTGCTAAAGGGGTAGTCCCAAAGCGAGGCTCTTCCTGGACAACAACAAAACAAAGTTCGTTTTTAACTACCCAAAAAGCACTGGTTGTTTGAAAAAAAAGAAAAAGGAAAGGAAAAGAAAAGCGTGAGAGATTAAGCGAAGAATGAATTTCTTTGCAAGAAGTTTCTTAAATGAGAAAGTAGCTCGCTTCACGCGCACACTTGTGGAGCTACCGTTCATAATAATAATAATAAAAAGTTGAAAATGTTTCTCACTGAAATCGATTTCTCCTTAAATCCCCACATTTCTACTACGATGTTGCAAAACAGCAGCAAGATTCGCTCGCGAAAGTGAGCTGTTACTCTTCTAACATTCGCAACGAACCAAAACACAGGCTTGTGAAGTTAACACGACGAAACGATGAAGTTTCAGGCATGATAAAGTAGCTAACGAAGACTCAAAGGGAAATAAATCACAAGCACAAGCTTCAGGAAGAACAAAAAAAAAAAAAAAACGCCTTGTCCACTCACCCCAAGTATAGACGTAGCCATAGCCAGGGCCTTCAGTGCGCTGGATGCTGCGGGACCCTGGTGCTGTTGTGCTCCAGTTTGAGTGGGACAGGGCGCTGTGCTGCTCTGCGTTTGTCCCCAGGCTCAGCTCCCCTCTCTACACAGTTGTACCCAGCGCCTTCTTTCAAGTACAACCGGCTGCGCCTCTCAGCCAATCGGAGCCGTGGATCCTGCGCGCCCAGTTCGAGCTCGGCCAATAGGAGGCGCATCCCTGACAGAAATACTAAAGTAGCGTGTCAATCAATAAACTGGGCTACCGATCCCACTGTCAGACACCGAGCGATCTGCTCTTTTTAAGAGCTTTATATTTATATATTTATGTGTATGTGGATGTCAAGGCGCAGTATCTTCGCACATACAATAGAGCTGAGCTCATGTTGGGTTTTTAATAAGCCCGGCGTCCTCTGTGGTCGGTAAGCGACTCCTATTTGTCTTGTGCATGTCTTGAAATGTTTGATGTCGTTCCTGACATTCGCCTGCGTCAGGCTACTGTCGTAAACGATAAAGATGACTCTGGCGCGTTAAATGATTTAATTCAAAATGCGATCTGCGTATACTGCTTCTAGTGAGGTGCAAACGTGAAGCTCCAGCTTTGTCTTGCGTTTTTGTGATTCTGATGTTAATTGTGAGTAGCCTGTTATGTTGTCAGCAGTCTTTGACAGGGCATTTTGTTCTTTTAGATCAAATTAGATAATAATTTACGAAGCAGCCGCTGGGTTTGCAAATAGCTGTGAACCGCTCGAACTTTTAACATTTGATGGAGTCACTGTGAGGGAAACGAGGTTGAGGAAATCTGGGGGGGAATCACAGATCTCACAACAGGTGTTAGAGGCGTGTGAGTGTGTGTGTGTGTTTGAGAGAGTGTTAGAGATGTTTTGTGTGTGTGTGTGTGTGTGTGTGCGCGCGCTGGCTGGTGCGCGCGCGCGCGCTCTCAGTAGCGCTCCTTTTAAATGCCTTCAGAAAAGCAGCGCGCAGGACCAACACGGCGTGAAGACAAATCCGCCACAACAGTTTCCTCTCGCAGTCTGTCTCGTGTTAGACGTCGAAAATCATTTAGAAAGGAGGAAGTGATGTTATCAAGAGACCTCCATAAAATAACACGATATAAAAAGACACAACTCGCGTCACATCGCATGCGTTTTCCTTATTGTTCAAAACACTCGGATAAATTAATTCCTGTCCATCTTCACCTCTCTTCTATTTTCCCTTTCATCAGGTTTATTATTATTACTATTAAAAAAAATCTTTTTATATATATATGAAGATCAATGCATTATACCAATGTGTTCTTCTGCTTGTTAAACATTTAAGGGTAATGGCATAATTTAACAATGGCCTGCTTTGGAGTGAATCATCATCCCTTTAAAAGTTAAAGCAATTTTCTTGAAAATGGCCTCGCCGAAAGCTGTGCATTACAGTATTCAAAATTGCCAAATAATGCTCCATTATAGAGGCTGAGCGGTGCCAGGCAGCCCGGGCGCAATTTGCTCCAAAGCGCTGCGCTTTAAATCCCTCCTATGGAGAGGGGAATCTAAAACAATTTATTCAAATCCGCATGGTGGAGCCTGCAAAATCGCTTCATTTCTGCAATCACTGTAAATTGACAGGGAAACAATTAACACTATTAAATATCCGTTAGGCATAAACACATTTGAGTGAGCTGACTGAGAGCAGTGTGCAACTCTCTCTCCCTCCCTCGCTCTGCCTCTCCATGTTACACTTGTTCGCGTCCTCTTAATTAATTGTGGTGTCAAATCTTATGAATACAGATTTCCTGAACGAATGTATTCCGAATTTGGGGGATTTTTGTACTTCAGCTGTTAGATTTAGGCTTGGCGGATTCTGAACGCTGCCTTATTTGTTTGCTTGCGTGGATTAAATCTGATAAGATAGTTGTGGCTAAATCACTGATAACATTCTATGATCTGATGCGAGGACAAATATGTATTTTTAGCAAACTTGAGAACACTCATACTGAAAAAGAGCATTGATTAAAAACGAAAATCGAGCTTAACTAAGCTTTTTCATTTTATATATATATATATATATATATATATATATATATATATATATATATATATATATAATTTAAATTATTTTATTTGTTTAGTTCATACTGTAAAATATTGCGTAAATGTTATTAATATGGGCAAAATGTTTTCAGATTTTGCACTATATAAATCTTTCTGATACAAAAAGAATGAATATATATATATATATGTGTATAATTTGATTTAAATCTCCAAAGCCACCAGGCTGGCTGGCCTACCTGACGAGCAGTTGTCTGTGGCAATTAGAAACCTATTACAAGTCATTAGACTGATCAATGTACCTTAAACAATGCGAATGATTTATTTGCCAAGAACAAAAAACCGCTCTGCATCTATTGTGGTGAGTCTGAGTGACGCTCCACATCCATCACGCCTTTAAGCAGCTAAAGATAAATGATTAATCCGCACCTATTCGTTAAAGTGGCCTCCTACAAAAGGTCCTGAGCTCGCTTCAAATCTGCCCCATTCCAGCTGCCCTTCCTGCGCGGGTGAAGGCGCAGGGTGCGGGTTTACATCGGGCCCTTTTTTGTTTTCAGCCTGGGATTAATTTGTCCCCACCCTTAAGAGGAAAAGCGCATTTGTGGATAATTAACTAATCTGTCTAAACTTAAATCCCTGTTATCCACAGGTCCTCTGACCGATCACCTCAAATACGCCTGCTGCCTGCTTCTGGCACATCAAAAAAAGAAGACATTTTTATAAAGCTTATTTCTCACCGTCCTCATCGGACCGCATTAAAGACCAGTGTTAATGGAATTATAGAGGAAACAGTAAATCAGTTAAGTTCTCCTTTTGAGTCTATGACAAGAGAAAAGGGTCTGTATGTGTGTGTATATCATGTGTGTGTGTGTGTGTGTGTGGGGCTCACCACGACTCGAAACGCTTGATTGGGATAAGGGTGCGTTTCGTCATCCATGCGCAGGAGATCAGAAGTGGGGAGATGTGGGAAATGTTTAGTGTTCATAAACAACAGACTAATAAACTGTCACATCATCCTCTTTGCCAGCGTGCTGACGAGAGAAGAAGAAAAAAACATTCGAGCTAATTTGCAGTTTCTACAAACCCAGTGAACGTGCATTTGCCTATTTTTTATCTGAATTCACAGCTTCTTATTTGTTAACGTGGTTTATAGGAGGATGATCGTTTCCTATAAAAATATAAAGCAGTCGTCTGATGACCTGATATATTCAGGTAAAATTCTTCTGCGTTTTAGAATTAGATTTTTATGCGAATGTATTTATATTTCAGGCAAAATGTCAGTATTAAACCAGTACTCAATCGTGAAACGTCTTGCCAACAAATACCGGTAAATGCTTGGCTGAAAAATGTTGAACATGTATGTGAACATTGTGCTACGTCACCTGTTCAGCACGATGACATTCAAATATATTTACATAGAACTGATCAGGTTTAATCGATGACCCATTGAGAGCTGTGCGTTGGGTAGTCTGCGTTGGGTAGCCTCCGACGTCATACTTTTTGCTTGGGACAGTTTTTTGGGTAGACCTTCCCAGTACATGGATGTTCTGTTCAACACTCCTATACTGGGGCTGCATATTATAAGCCTGCGTATGGCTTAATTCAGTGCACTAAATTCTCAGTGCTTACTTGTTTTTCAGTGAATGTCTCAGCATGTGGGTCATTTTTTGTGTGTTGTTAAAGTGTCCAAAGAATAATGCCTGTTATTTTCTCCCGTGTCGAACGTACGTTTCACAATGAAACGAGAGCGAAACTATATGCTAATTAATACATGCACGATAATTTATAATTTGCATAAGCCTTTAATAAAAGCCCAGCGACTATAGGTGCAGAGAGCTCCTGCAAAATCGACTGGGCTCAATTTCCCAAAAAACATCTTAGAGTAAAGATCATCTTAACTGCTAGAGAGAGTGTTCAGTGTGATGCTCACTCTACCATTTAAGAATAATCTCTGTGCTAAGATGCTTGTAGGAAATCCAGCCCAGGATGTTTTTTCTCTTAAAAACAAAGTGATGGGCCTCATTAAATATTGCAAGGTTTAGGCCTGGTGGTAACTGGCTATTAGCCTGAGCATGAATTTATGCAGCAGTTTGTGCAGCACAGAAAGTAAGCAGTGCTCTCTTTGTTTACTTATTGTATTATATGCCTGTAATTGTGAAGATGTAATGGTACTATAGGTTTATCTAGGCCTAATAGTCAATTAGGTTCCTGAAACCAGAGTCAGATAAACACACACGTCAACAGGTGCCTGGTGTAAAAAAATCCTTTGGTTTACTGTACTGCAACAGCTCTCGCGCTACACGATGCTGCCCTTGTCTGTAATTTTTGCCTGAGAGTGATGGGTGGGAGTTGTGGACACTGGTGACAGTCCACTTGCGATAATCTCTGCTTTATCTGTGAGAAATGGAGCTGCCCAATAGGGTTTTGGCTGAGCTGCTCTCTCTGAGGCTAGAGTTAGTTCTGTCTTAGTACTACTGCATTAGTGAGAGGGTGTAAAAGAGAAATACCCTAAAATTACTAAGAAAATCAACTTGATATGGTTTCATGCACTGTAATGCAAGACATATATTTACTGAAATTGTATACAGTGTTGGCTACTGTATCCATTTATCTTCCAGTAAACAGTTGCCTTCATAATGGACACCTTATGGTCTTTTTTTTTTAATGTGCAGCAAGCCAAAGGGGCTTTTTTCCCCCACCAAACCACACATACATAACCACTACACTGATCTGTGTTTACAGGAAGAGTTTATTAGTTTGCATTCTTCAGCCGAAATCAGCAGTAGTCTAGTCATTCTCACTCTCAAAACAGTTCAAAAAGGTATAACAAGTTTTTAAATCATCCTATTTGTATCCTGTTTCTAAAGTGTTTCCTCCAGTAGTTCAAAGGACACTTTGAAAGTGCCCTTGAAATATTTTTGACTGAGAGACACAATAATCCCTCAATAGTTACTCAACCTCCATCTCATCAATCCACAGCAATTTTATCCCTGTTGGTTTTTGAGTTTCAACCAGCCAATCATTTAAATCCCAAGCAGCAGGTGAGGTAGAGATGGAACGCCCTGGGCTGCTCTCAACTGCCATCCCATTACTGCACTCATATTCGTGCCTTACAGAGTGAAGGACTCTTCAGCTTCTTTCACAGAGCTGCAGACATCTCTCGTTGAGCTCACCATGGGGTTGCGTTCTCTAAGATCCACTCTGTCTTCCTAAATCTGCCACAATAGCAATTTGCTTCTGCACCCCAATCGCAATTGATCTATTATAGGATTGTCTGACCTTGTTATTGGAGTTGGTGTTCCAGCACAAATGTGTTTTTGTATTTATTTTAGAGGATCAGAGTAAAATGCCTAATTGTCGACTGTCTTTGAGGAGAAAGAACATAGCGTGAAAATGTTCTGTAATGTCTACGAGGTTTCTGCACCAAATATCGGAATCAGTGGTGCGTTCGAAGACAGTCGCAGGTTATGTCAGCTTGTGTGCTGTGTCTTTATTTTCAGGAAGTCAGCCTTTTCTCTGCCTGAACAGTGAGCTGCATCTGAACGCTTCCCCTTCTGCATCACTGACCCTGATGAAAGCAACGTTCCCTCCCCGCCAGCGCTGCAATTTCCCCCATACAACACACAGACCTGCAAGGTATGGGTCCTGTCTGTCTTCCTGTCAGTTTGTCTGTCTGCCTGAACATCTGAAGATGTATAAGTCACAACTCAGATTTGCTCCGAGTTTAGTATGTTCATTCAGTTTTGCATTCTTTTCTTGAAATCAGGAAAGTGAGAAATGGCGGGATGTGTTCTGACTAATCTGTAAAACATACAGTACTATGCAAAAGTCAGAGACCATAACCTTCATAACAGCCTCTAAGTAAAAGTTATTAAGCTTTCCTTACATATTTCTAAGGGGATTAGATGTAAGATATAAGATATTTCACTTTCCCACAGGAAGGGAAAAGCCGAAGGAAAATGACTAAAAAAACTTCAGGAATTGAATAAAAATTATTAAAAGATATACAGAAAAAGGTACTTCAACCAAACAACCATGCAAGACCTGGTAGACCACTAAAACTGTCACCATAAAGCTTTCATCTTAGATAGAGAGGAGAAAATCATACTCCACTCTTGCTTAAGATCTGAAAAAATCCACAGGTGTTTCTGTCCATCCTTCCACTGTGAGATGACAACTCAACACTATGGGTCTGAAAGGATGTATAGCTGTCAGGAAACTGTTACTGAGAAAAGGAAACAGACAAAGAAAATTTAAATTTTGTGAATCTAACAAAGAAACTGCTGGTGTTCTCAGAATAATTGACTGACCGCCCCAGAGTCCAGACGTTAACATCATTGAATGCATTTGAGATTATTTGGAAAGTGAGTAGCAGAAAATGCAGTCAACATCTAAGAATGAACTTTGGAGATGTATTTGAACAATTGAAGCTAAGCTATAATAAAGACAGAGTGGACACATTAAATATGAAAATTTTAAAATTACGTTACTGAGGCTTCTATGTGATTCTCTCTCAAATATATATTTTCTGCTTTTTCCAGTGCTGAAAAATGAACAGTTTGTACTGAGCATTTTCACTGGAAAGTAAATAAATGAAAGTGTGGTCTCTGACTTCTGCACAGTACTGCATTAATATCATGCTGTAGACCTAATCTTGATGCAAATCATAGATAATAAATAATAAAACAAATGTGTAATTTCTGGAATAAACACTGACTTTATTAAATGCTTTAAGTGGTGAGCATGTTCAACATCAGTTTGTCACTCCCTCAAAGCTATAGGATGTTGTAAGGGGTTGGATTACTCTACACTTCAGCATGAAGTGACACAATACATGCACTAGCCTTGCCATGTTTTATGAGTATGTTCTCATTTTGCTGGAAGGTTGCATACAGTATGTATAATATATATGTCATGAGTTCATGTTATAGGGTGTGTGAGGTATGTAAAGGCTCTCAGTCACGCTACAGTTTTGTGCTTAATGTTGAGTCATGCTGATGAACATCTGTCTGGTCTGGTTGGGATGGGACTGTACCTGTTCTTCTCTCACACGTACACCTGACTGTACCATGAGCCACTCTCAGCTTTACAGTTTCCCTCTTTTTCAGCATGACTCATTAGGACTTTTCACAAAACTGCTGGGAAACGCAGTTCTCAGCCCTTTCACTGAAAGCCTAATGTTTGTTTGTTGTGAGTTTGGATTCTAGTTCATTAATTCATTATTTAGAATTTTTTTTATAGATATTATGTTTAGGTGTTCCATATAGGATTCTCTATAGCATTAATATCTCAAATAAAACATTAGAACGTTTTCAAACACATAGTGGCATTTTCTGCTCTCAAATGAAGCAGATGATGAACAATGTAACTCAAAAAGATCAATATCTTTGAAAGATAACCATTCCAGTTTGAATGCTGAAAATGAAAACCATTGTTTAGCTGCCGATAAAGTGATCTAAGAGCACAATTTTACATGGCTTGTGCTTGATATGCCCCTAACTGCATTTCTTTCTCTTCATTAAGAAACTGACATTTGCAACAACTTAAAGACAAACAATTTGTCTCAGGCTTATTATGGCAACTAACTGCAAACTGTCATTTGACATCGGCAAAACAGCCCTCCGCAAAGCAGAATGCTTATCACATGTCATCTCTGCATGGCAGCGCAGAAATTACGTGTAGCTCTCGCTCCACTCCCAGCTCCTTTGTGCTCTCGACATCGTCTTTGTCTTACACAATTAAGGTGTTACACGGTAGAATAATTTAAATTGCCGGCTCTAAAATGGAGACAGAGGCTCTTTTTAAAAATAGCAGAATTTGTTTACTGATTGTATGCGGCTATTGACTTTCCCATTATATGAGAAGAGCTCTGATTAGTGGCTGTGCGATGTTTAGACAGAGAGGCAGAGCGGACAGGGTTACAATGCAGAGCATTTACTCTTATTGTTCTCTGAGCCTCTCTGCTCCGGATTACTGCTGGACACAGTAATGAGGGTGTTACTGCAGGTCCAAGGCCATTTTCCAGTAGTTGCTGAGCGGCCCCTGTGTGACAAACAGCGTCTGTGGCTCCTGAAGTCTCCTCAGACTTTGATGAGGCTCCTGGAACATGTTCTCAACCTGTGGGTATGATTTCCAAATGTTGCCAATGTGACTAGAAGGGCATTTTCCTCATGTTTTCCACTGGCTGCAGGTGAAGGCTGTAATTCTGGTACTGTTTGTAATATAGACCTGATACAAACCTACTGTTTGTAATATAGACCTAGAACAGGCATGCAGGATCACTGTCCAAACTGGAGAAACAAATCACTTCAAGAATGTTCCTAATTTTTCCCATTTGATTTGTGCTGTGTGGAACAAAAAAAAAATAATTATTGTTAGTCCATGTTCTTCATCATCGTGCTGTAAGCCGAGCATATATTTAACTAAAACCAGCTCCGTTCATTCCGTCTGTCGTAAACACAGCTTGTGTACAGTGGTGGAAAACCAGAGCATAAAACAGATACTTTTCTTTTATGAATTTACAGCTCTCTGTTTTGACCTACCATTGTTTTCCTAAAGCAGATTTCCTTTGAGAATAAGTGGTTGCTCCACCGCTTAACCATTAACAATTTCAGCCTTTGTTTTGTAATTATAGAAATGTTTTATCCGGTGTCAGATGGTACATGTTTCAGCATCCAGGGCACTTCTTTTATATTGTCTGATTACATGGTAGTGGGAACACGCTTTTTCTTGCTTCAGATGTTTGCCAAAATGTGTGGAGCGTGTTACAAAGAACTGGGAGATGACTTATAACTCAGCCCCACTCATGTGAATGGCGTGTTTGTTAGCGCTTGAATTCATGCCAGAGCGCCTAACAAGAAGGTGAGAGGGGATTTGTATTTACTGGTATGTGAAACCAATGTCACATGAACCAGAAAACTCTTCCCTATTGATTTTAAGCTCTGCGTATATTCCCAGTGTGAAGGACAGGGTACAGGCTGTATCACTCTGAGAGTGTTTATCAGAGCATTGGGAGAGCGCAGGGCATGATAAAATAGTGAAGACAAAATTAAGATCTTACACATTTCTCCCCATTATTTCTTACACATTTCTCCCCACATACACACACTATATGCCCAAAAGTATCCAGACACTGCTTCTAATTAGTGAGTTCAGCTATTTAATTGTGCACCCATTGCTCACACGGGTGTTTAGTTGTGCACACACAGCTTGTAGAATTCCCATAGAAAACTTTGCTAATAGAATGAAATGCTCTGGAGAAGCCATACATGAGCCTGAGGTCACCGTGTCCGATGCTAAGTACATGCTGGAAGGGCATGATGCCCCCATAATTTGGCTGAGGAGCAGTGGTACTGTGTCCTCTGGAGTGATGGACCTCTATCCAATACATAATAACTAACTAATTAACAGGATTCTGAAAAAAAAGAATTACTTCACTTCTGGGTTATTCTGTAAAACTCATATGTATAACTGAACTGTAACAGTTGAAAGTAGCCAGTAGTAACAGTCCAAAAACTCAGTGTTAATGAGCTGTTTCTGAATAAAAATCAAATTTGCCCTGTTTAGGTGAAGTTAGACTGTCTCTTCCTCATGAGAATCTTTACACATCAGTTTCATAGTTTAATATTAGTGTAATTAGATGCTCCAACAGATTTTTGAGCAAGTTTACAGCTCTTCCAACATTGCGCTGTCACACATGCAAATTACGTAGAAGGACAGGGTATGGGCAGGTTAATCTATATAGAGGAAATATATGTTTTAAATGTATTGTGCATAATTTTTATTGTTCTTTTTAAGATATACACAAGTAACGTAATTATTCAGAAGTAAGTAACTGTATTATGATTATGAGAATTTAAACTTTAATGTGTATATCATTACTGGAAAAAGCAATCAAATTATTGCAATGCGTTACTTTGTATTACATCACCCCCAACAGTGTCAGTATTTCTTCATCTAGTAGTTCAGGTGTCTGTATGGCTGCATCCACACATTTAGCCAGTGGTTCAGCAGTGTGATTAAAGCCAGGCAGTAGTCAGCTGTTTTAAGGTAAAGTAGCTGGAGTTGCTCAATCTCTTTCAGTTCTGTGTGCAAATCATGGATTTTTATTTATTTTGCTTTTTCATTTTTACCATCTAATGACTTTGAAAAATCTGTGTAAACACTGGATTTACTTTCAGTGCATGCTTCCAAAAACTGTTAGAGGGGTTTCTGAAAGCTGATGCCCCAGTAAGCTTTATGTTCTAAGAACTTGCAGAAGGGGAAAGTTGCCTCATGAGTGACTAGTGAATATGTGTGTGTGTTCATGTGAAGCGTTCGGGCTGCGGGAAGAAAAGAGAATGGCTTATCTCTCCCTACACATGATTTTCTATTCTATTCTATTCTATTCTATTCTATTCTATTCCTGGAGATTTCTGGAGTTGTCCCTACCCACATAGACCATCTCCTCTGTGTTTTTTCTTGAAGTGGTGAGGAATGTAGTTTTGCTCTGCTCCCTGCCCTGTCCCCAGCTCTCAGTGAAGAAATCCACTCCTCTATTCCCAGCTGCCTCAGCCTGGTACACATTTACAGCTTCTTTTCATCCTGACCTGTTATTCTTGCTCAATATCTACAGCAGCCAAAACGCCACAGCGCAG